AGTGTCACTCGACAAACCTGAAGAAAAAAAAAAAAGCCGTCGGCGGCCTGCCTAAAACAGGTCAAACAGGGGGGGGGGGGGGGGGGGGGGCGTACTCATGTAAACGCATGCCTTAGTCGCTAGGCCATGGAGGGGAGGGGAGGAGGTGTAGTTCGGCGTGCGTGAGCATTCCGTACGATAATAAGCTGGCGCAGCTTGAGCTTGTAATAATGCCACATCATACGGTACCACGCCTCACATATCACTCGACTTGCGGGTTTCTCGGCCTACAAGGCTATGGCCAAAACGTTCTGTGGTGTGATCATGAGTCGATTATTTTTTTCACCCAGGGCGTGTCATGATGGCAAATAACTGATGACGACACGAGACATCATGCTGCTTCAAGCCAGCCCATTGCGCTGCATCCAGTGATGCCACTAACACAGCTCCACTAAAAAGTTATCTCGACCTGCTGTGCGTACGTATCTTCTCCCACCGTAGCCCCAACTTGGTCTACCCACCTCTCACCTTCCGGGGGGTACGTGAAATGAGGCTCGGGACTGGCACCCCCCAAGGTCGGTGATGTCGTACGTCACCGAGCAGGCAGGTTCTACTGGGGGGGTACGCAGATTGTAGCGACCGATACGTGGCATTGGCGGAACCACGGGCAACAAGCAGCATGAGCAATCACGACAGCAGCAGCAGCAGCAGCAGAAGCAGCATCAGAGCATCAGAAACAGTTTGGATCGATTTTTCGACCAAGAAGACACGAGTGACACACACACACGCACACACAAGAGAGAGAGAGGATATGGGGGCGCTACCAGTAGACGGGGCCGTGGTGCGCAGCAAGTGTTGGTGGTCTGGCGGCGGCAAGGAGTCAACAACGTCGCACGCGTTGCCCGCATGACCACACAAAATCAATACTTGTACTTCGTATATGCTCTCGAGTAAAGGAACTTGCCGATCCCTCTTGGGCTTTGGAATATCGAGGCAACTTTCGAAGGGACACCGGTTGGGAAGGAGGAGGGGGGGGGGGTAGCGAAGAGGAGCCATTCTGTGTGACCCCCCCCTCCAGATCGGCGTAACATTCAACGGAGAACACGCGGATAGATAGAGAGAGAGTACGGGCTAACGAACGTAGACGGAATGTTCCAATACGGGGGCACACAGCAGCACAAGTTTTTTTTCTTACTTAAGACACAACAACTTTAATCTCCTCCGCATACTATGTTATTCCCCTTTGACATACCTTGGTCGGCATGGAGCACCTCGGTCGCTCCTGCCGGAGACACCCCCCGTCGCGCTGCGGACGTTTGCCGGCCGTCCCCGCCCCCCACCACCTGCCCGAACCCAGGTCGGCCGACAACGGTCGATATCCAGTCCAACAGCCCGGCAATCTGCGAAAAAAACACGGATCGGGACGGTGGACGGACGCACGAAATACCGGTCGGAAAAAAAAAAAAAGGAAATAGAGAGACACGCGAGATGCCTACCTAACTTCTCTACCCGCCGGAGTGTGGGGACGTGTCAAGAAGGAAAATGGCCAAGACCGTTTGAGTGTGTGAAACTGTGGAAGGCACGCAGTATTTACAGAGCACACCCCCAACGTCGGAGAGTTTCCTCCAATAGGAGCAGGTTTAACAACGGTACTCCTTGTCCGAGAGTGTCCGAGGGTCAAGCCGACATCTGAGGGGGCGGGGCGAGGGGGGGGGCAGGGGGGGGTACTCATAGTCGTGAATGCCGTAGTCGTTAGACCATTGACCTCGCATCCCTACAAAGCCGGGAGGGAGCATGCCGGGCGGGGGGGGGGGGCGTACTCATGTTTTGCATGCCTTAGCGGTTAGGCCATAGAAGACCACGCGTCCTCGAGAGGACGGAGCATTGTTCCTGAAGGACTGATCGATCACCGATGATGACCAATCTACTTTGCGAAAGGTGAGGGGGGAGGGGGGCGGGGACACGGGAAAAAGCACCACCACTCTTCCCCCGTACTGTAACTCTTCCCCGTTGTGGCCGATCTTCACGACCACCCCCCCCAACCCACCCCAAGAAAACACCGAAAAAAAAAAACTCCCTTGCCTGCTCCTCTTCGAGCTCGTGGTCTAGCTCGACGTGCTCCTTGAAGGTGAGGTCGAGCCCCCCCCTGGCCTTGAGCTTCTCAGCGGTAGACCTGCCCCAGGCGACCTTCACCATGCCGTCGGCAGCGCCGTGGGTGACGTAGACGGGGGTGGGGGCTGGCCGGGACGATTGCGCCGCCGACCCCCCCGCCGTCACCTCGAACCTGGCCGCCGGAAGGAGTTGATCCACAAAATTATCTTTTTGGTGTGACAGGACGAGGGCGAGAGCGTGTTTTTTCTCAACAGCTGCAGGAAAATGGACAAAACGAAAACGCTTTTTCTTTTCTGCGGGAGGACGGGGGTGCATGCTTCCGCCCGAGGGCGGCGGGAAAAGGTGGGCGAGGGGTAACCGCCAGTGCTTGAGGCCGCGTAAGCAGGAGGCACCGCACACGTGCTGCAACGTTTCGCGCGCTTGACATCATCATCTTCCGGGCCATTCCACAGTACCGCGGCAAAATGTGGTGTGTGTACGTGTGTGTCAACAAACACTCGTGTGCGTCAAAACATAAACATTGTCAACAAACAGACACTCGCGCGTACGAACAACCGTGCGTATCAATCAACAACACTCACACGGCCGAATCGTCGCTGAGGAAGCTGGCGTGGCTGAACACCCCGGCCAATCGTCCCGCTAGCCCCTCGGCCCCGAGAGCCTCCAGCGCCAGACATCCCCCCATGGAAAACCCTACGGAGGCGTGTTGGGAGATACCAACAAGGGGCGACGTGTGTCAGGCAGGCAACACGTGAGACACAAGCGTGGGGACAGAAGGAAAGGACGTGTTCGTGCGCGTTGGCAGCGACGTGTTGACTCACCGCCGACAAACACGCCGCTCCTGGGAACTCCCGCGTCCTCCAACTTTCGCACTTCGTCCTCCACCTGGTCCCGGCCGGAGGTACTCGAGACGGTAAGACCATGAAGAAAAGCGGAACACCAACGGAACGCTTCCGTTTTCTTACGGTATGCATATGCGAAGGTGTACCGATTGACGGATACCCTGCGAATCGGGTCCTCCTTAACACATATGTGTGTTTCCGGTCCTTCTTTCTCTGCCCCGCTGGCTTGTTAAACAAGCTCCTCGTCGTCGGTCAATTCTTGTGTTCTTCTACGCTCTCTGGGACCAAAACTGACACGAAACACACAACAGCTGGAACCAACCGTGTATTGGTAAGTGCTTCCAACGCAAGACAAAAAAGGGGGTGCAATTCCCATGCACACCCTAGAAGCTGCTACCAGCAGAAGCTCTTGTCCGCATCGGCCAAAGCAGGCGACACACAGCTCCTTCTTCCCGCAATCTTCAATCCCGGCCCCTCCTCCCTCACACACTCATCACCTTAGTCCCCCTCCCCCCTGCCTAGCCTGGGCCGGCGAAAACCTGGCATACAGACAGCTCCCCGTCGGGTGCGAGGTCTATGGTCTACCGACTACAGCATGCGTTTACACGAGTAACCTCTTTTTTCACCTGTCGCAAAGAACGAAGAACGCCCGCGCGATCCTGTCGAGACCCCGGGCTTAACCTCTCCCGGTCGAACCACACTGTCGACACCGCCCCCCCCGCGAGCGTGTACCGTCTCTCCGGTGCCGTCGGGTACACCACCTCCCCGAGACCCAGCTCGGCTATGGCCCTATCGAACTTGCCCCCCGACGCGGAGCTGAGCCAGTCTCGAACGCCGCCGCCGGTGTCCCCTGAGCCGTGGAGGAAGATCACGGCCCCCCGCGGGCGCTGGGCATGACTCTGCATATGCTGCTACACGAAAGGAGGGGGGGGGGGGGGGGGTACTCATGTTTTGCATGCCCTAGTTGTTGAAATCATTGCAGGGGGTGGGGGGCAGGGAGAATGTTGGTTTTAATGCAGGGTTGACAACGGAACACTCGTTCTGGCCAAGTGCTCAAGTGCATCTCTTCTCGAGCCTCAAATAAAACAAAACTCCCAGGTTCTGAGGTAGTGGCGCGTACTGCTGTGTCTGGTTATGTCGAGACTCTACACCAAGTCACCGCTGCTGCTTTCGTACGTTACGATGTTCGGCGAACGGACAGCAGGCGTTCGGTGTGCGGCGGCACGCTTGTATGCGTACGCATAGCTGCCGTTGTTCTCGCCTAACCGTAAGAGAGGAGGAGAGGGTTGAAGGGACCTCGGTGTGTGCAGCGAATTATATCTGGATCCAACATGTGCGTTATAGTGTGAAAAAACAACAGATTAAAAAGCAAGCGTGTGTGCCCTCAAGGGTACAAAGGGTTTCGTTTCCACCCATACGCCGACACAGACGTCTTTTATTCCCCCAACTGGTATAGGTCTCTCAACAGCAGTTCGTGTAGGGCAACAACCACAACCATACAAGCGAGGACGTTGGTGCTTGCAGTTTAGGATCCCACGCAGAAAACAACCGTCGACAAGGGCGAGGACCCGACCGCACGTCGGCCAGCGGTACACTACACTCAACCATTCAACGGGTAACACAGGCCCCAATTTAGAATTTTGAACAGAGTTGCGAGCAAGAACATGAACTCAGCCACCGGCAAAATGTACACTCTTGTGTATCCTACCGGTATCGCGGTAGCTTCGTATCTAGCCGGTGCGAAATCGTTGAGGCAGAGTACATGTAGATCCTTGCTCAAAAGTAGGTGTTCCTTATGAAAGTGTCGGCAACTACGGCTGTTGTGTAGATCAGCTTCTCGTAGTAGTACTATAATACCGCAAGTACGCATGGTTCAAACGTATAATGTGAAGACAACAACAACAACAACAACAACAATACGTGAACGTTCAGACGTTAGAAGGATCTTTACGACTCAAATCATGATGCTGCAGACAACGGCGACGATTCGTTGCCCGTTGCAGCCACTTTCCAAGCGTTGTTACGCTTGCCATACATCGCTTTGCTTTTCCTCCCCGTTGCCTTGCGTACAAGGCCATTGTAGGATAGCTTGACACCATGCCGTATGCTGCATGCACTCGTACTATTATGTAAACACATGCCCTCTTGGAAATGCCAATGGAGATTGCCTCACTCAGGTTAGCAGTATCTATAGCCAGCGGACAGCCAACGACGAGTGGCAGATTTCAAATACAACGCGGACGCTTACATTGTTGGAGAAGGATACGCCTGGGAACACAGAGAGAGAGAAAGAGAGAGAGAGAGAGAGAGAGAGAGAGAGAGAGAGAGAGAGAGAGAGAGAGAGAGAGAGAGAGAGAAGACGGAGACAGAAGAGGCAAGAGGGAGAGAGAGCCGAGAGCCTATGTAAAGCGGGAGTGTTTGCACCAGTGCAAAGAACCTACAGAGTGGGCCGTGTGTTACGCGGATGGGAGATTTGAACAATACCCGGGGGGTGACTTTGATTCACGGAGCCTCCAAGTGACCGCCGTTCACCCTCGCTGACACTGCAGAGCGTAGCCGTGGTGTAGCAGACAATGGAGGATCCAGGGAGCAGCAAGCTGGATGTATACTCGGCAAAAATTCGACGGTGAGTAAGTCGTAAGTGTCGGGCAGGTTGCGGCTGCTGCGCTGCTCGATACGTGACGGTCAAAATCTACGGCGGTGCGATTTGTTCTCGGAAACCGTGAACCCAATATTCAAGTGTTGTTATCGCCACCGGTAGTGCTGTGATGCTGTGATGTATCGGGAGCTTGCGGGGGCATCTAAGCACTAATGTCGTGGCGGTGGGAACACTTCTAGTGTGTCGTCCTGGGGGAAGTAAGACGTAGCGGTGACAGGCTGCGTAAGCTCGTCGTTTTTCTGGTTGGTGCGTCCGGAGAACACCTGTGGTTTCACCGCAAACATCCAACGCCCCCGCCCTCTCTCTGTTGTTGGATGTCCCTTCGCTCCCTTACTGCTGGTAGACCCGCTGTTCTGCAACCCGTGCGTTTCGCGCTCGATGCGGTCTTGATCCTCAAGCATTAACGGGTAGTTCTTGCACGGAATAAGAGCAACAACAAAAGTGACAATACGTGGCTGAATCCCCCTCGAAACTTCGATACTCCTTTACTTCAGTAGTAAGGTACTGGAAGCCCAACCGGGGACACTTTGCGGACACAGCACTCAAATGCCTGTTTTACCCCACCGCCGTGATCGTCACTACATGTTCTCCGCTGCGTGAAAAGTGCGGGGCAAACCTTGGTCTACCAAGCTTGTGTACGCTGTGTGATACACTGCTGTGCGATGCCTGTGTGCCTCTCCTGGGCCTCCTCCGACGTGCTGTACACAATCTCCCAAGCCGCGGGTCCCCTTGTTGGTTGCAGTAAAACTGTGCAATATGCATACAGCAGTATGTACATCGCCTACATGCATACTACTGGAAACATTTGCTGACTTGGCTTCAGCATGGAAAGTGTTCCCCAGTGCATTTGGGGACACTTTCCATGCTGAAGCCAAGTCAGCCTTCGGCCCTCGGGACTGTACAGCCGTCTCCAAATGACTTTACGCGATTTTTTTCTGGACCCATAACCTGTAACCTAGGCCGGCGTCAATTTCGTGTGCTGGCCTCCAATAGCAGAGTAGCCGTGGTGAAATTGGGGGGTTTGATAGGTTTTGCTATTACTCGTCTTTTTCTCCCCTGCGAGGCTGCCATCTAGTAGTAGTACCGAATCGGCCGCCACAGCAATCGGCGTTGCGTAAGTCAGAGCCGATTTGTCGGCCGTGTCGCCGTGGAGAGCAAGCAGTTTTTGCAGGGAGAAGGGGTGTTTTGGGGAGAGTTCTTCATGTAATTGATGCGCCCCTTTGTTGTGTTGTTGATGTGTCCGTCCACAGCAGTTCTTAGTCGACGGTTTTTAACCCCCTTCTCCGCCCTCCCCGCACCCCTCCTTCCGGAAAACGCCTCTCCCCATGTAGGACATACCAGTACTGGTTAGATCGATCAGTGATCTACACCATGTGGCGATGGGGGTTGTTTTTCGTATCGGTGTGTCTGTTTCTCTTGAGGATTTACCTGGTGAAGGGCTGGTTCATCGTCACGTACGGACTGGGGATTTTTCTCCTCAACAACTTGATCGGCTTCCTCTCCCCCCAGGTAAAAAACTCTTACGCGTGAAGTTTTCCATCATCTGGTCCATGCTGTCTATTTAGCTTTTTCGTCGCGCTGATCACGTCACGTTGTAGCGTAGCTGTGTGTGTGTGGGTTGTCACCGGCACCGGTGTTCGGGTAGCGCAGAATCAAGGCGTATCGTCGATGCTGGCGCGCTTAGACCTGTGCAGAAGATAGGAGGAACTGAGCAGAGATCGGATAATGTGCATGAGAGAAGAGAGAGGAAGTACAAGCGGGAGTGCGAAGAATGGGTGACAACTTTTACGTTTACATCTCCTGTCTCAACTCTGGGACGAATTGTGAGCCCGATTTCTCCACACGGAAACCGGCGTCGAAATTGAGATCGGAGAGTTCTTGGAACGCGGCATACAAGGCGTTTCCAACGCTGCCGCGAGTGTCATCGCCGCTCACACTCGGCGTTGTTGAGAGCTACGCCATGGAAATCCGTCCTTAGGCGGGGGGAGGGAGGGGTATCTGATGCCCGCAGTGTGCCGGACGCAGCGTTTCGGAGTTCTCTTGACCAACAGTACTGTACAGTACAGTAGAGCTGGGCGTTCGGCGGTGCTTGCCACGAGGAGTCTATGTCAAGCGGAAGGTGCTCGCCCCTAGGCTTTGCTGGGGTCGGCGATCTTTTCGCGTCTAAAGGGCGTTCGTACGCAGGGGAGTGGGGCGATGGAAGGGATGGAGGGGTTCCTCCAAGGAACACAAGGTGGCCGCTAACCGTACGCTTGAGGCACGAAGCAAGTGCCTGGTACTACGTGGATCGTTGCGGCATGGAGTCGAAAGCTGCGAAGCAGATGATGTCGGAGGGAGATACATAAACGCCGCTACGGTGCGCCTACCTGCTCCCAGGGCGCGTGTCCTCCCTCCCTCTAGGCTTGCTGGTGTCCGCGCCCCCTGCAGTTCCGCAATGCAAGATACCTCAGGTTATGGTTATCGTGACATAACCCTCATACCTAATCCCCACCCCGTTTGTACCCCCCTCCCGCCCGTCTGTCCCCCCCCCCCCCCCC